CACAAATAAAAGGCTTAATTTTTCATGTGAAAACTACTATAGTGTGACTTGGTTTTCAAAACATTTCTCAAGACAAGCTTTACGTTTTTCTTACAATGCGTTGCATCGAGCACATCATGATATTGGATGATCCACCGGAATAATGCAACAAGACCACTCGCATTATTGAAATACTGAAATACCAATTTTATTCATCCAGGAAGTACTCAGATATTACAGCAGTACTTAGGTATTACATGCAACACACTTACGAAATATATCTATTATCTCCAACTGACATAGGTTGGACTGATACATATCAAGGTGGTGCCACAGGGTACATCGCCTCATCCAAGCGAGGCCTCGCATGTGCATGCAAAGGTTTAGCTAGAGTCAGTTCTTCTGACGTAGAGAGATCAATCTTCTCCTCATTGGGTGGTACGCTCCATGTGAACCCTTGAATCAACCTTCCCAATGCCATTATAGTCAAAAGTGTACCAAGAGTCTGGCCTGTACACGAACGCTTTCCAGTAGAAAAACTTATGAACCTCAAGTTGGGTTCTGACAAATCTACTTTACTAACATTTCCACCCAAATGGCGCTCTGGATTGTATTTCAAGGGTTCTTCCCAGGTCTCAGGGTTACGACCCAGTCCGGTGCGGCTCAACAAGACATGGCTGCCTTTCGGAATGAAATAGCCACCCACTTCGATGTCTTCTAATGAGAGGTGCGGCAAATTAAACGGAACATGAGGATGGAGCCTAAAAGCTTCTCTTGCACATGCCTTCAAATAATTTAACTGGTGAACATCTGATTCTTGAATCCATCTATCTTTCCCTACAACCCTGTCTATTTCCTCGATGGCCTTTTGGAGAATCTCAGGTTGATTAATCATTTCTGCCAGTGCCCATTCTGCTCCTGCCGCAGGACCATCTACTCCAAAAAAGAACTCCTGGATAACAAAATTATATTAAATTAAGAACGTATTGCCATGTTACAAATATATAAGCAACAGAAATGATCTTACACTGATTTGAGCTTTGATCTCATCTATGGACAGAAGT